TTGCCACCTTTTCTTCAAGCCAAACCCGAACACTGTAGATCCTCACGGCAATACATTATGTACATATTTTGTGATTAAATAACATTGGAGTTAATCACAACTTGCCCGTGTACCACAGCTTCCCAGATATATATTCTGTACATAAACCATGCCCCCATAAGATGCCAGTGTGCCACAGGTCACAGGACAGGTTTTCTAAAACAACACACACTAATGATTTCAGGACAGTGGTGGAGCGCCAGAGCCAGGTCCGCGCTGAAACCTTTGCAACCCTGGTAGTTCTTGTGCACATGCCAAGTATTGGCACCCGTATCTGAACATCCCTACAAATTAGGGATGCCCCGATACCAGGTTTTTGATATTTTTTTAATATGTCTTTTCCAGTACTCGCCGATACTGAGTGCCCGTGCCTTGTACCCCCGATTATAAGGAAGTCAGGTGGTGGATCATGACACGGCTTCCTGATTGCCTGTGAAGCCGGTGTTCTAGCGAAAGAAAATGGGCTTCACTTGAAGCTGCCAGACCAATCAGGAAGCCAGGCGGCAAGTCATGAGGTGCCGTCTAGCTTCCTGATTGGTCAGGAATCCAGACTTCCTAGCAACAAGTGAAGCCGGCTTCCTAGCCAATCAGGAAGCCGGGGGGCATGTCATGACCTGCCTTTCTGATTGGCTAGGAAGCTGGCTTCACTTGTTTCTAGGCAGCATGGCTTCCTGACTAGGGATGAGCCGAACACCCCCCTGTTCGGTTCGTGTTCGAACATTCGAATGGGCGAAATGTTCGAATACGAACTCAAACTTAATGCAAGTGTATGGGGGCCGAATGTTCGACCCCAATACAGTTGCCGGTACATGTAATAAATACAGTGTACTGGCCCCCTTACCTCCACTGCTGTCCCGGCCTCCGGTCCCCTGGTCCGTCCGCTCGCTGTCCCGGCGGTCCGTCGGCTTCTCTCCTTCAGTCCGGGCGCGGCTCCTCTGCCCCGCCCCCCTGCCTCCACTTCGTCTGCAGGCTGGGAGCCATACCCAGCCTGCTATTGGATATTGTAAAATGCAATAGCCAATAGCAAGCTGGCTATTGCACCCGCCTGCTGTCAATCAGCATGGGGGACCTGATAGAGAACTTTCTCCTTCAGGCCCCTCCTCTGCTGAGCCCTGATTGGGCAAAGTCTTGCAGCTGACCTGTGGTCAGGTCCATCCCTATTCCTATTCCTGACCAATCAGGAAGCCAGGGCACGAGTCATGATGTACCACCTGGCTTTCCCACCTCTGCGTTTCCCAGGCTACTCTGCTCCCTTTGCGGGACCGGCATCTCAGGTGTCGGTGGGAAGCTAGGGAGGAGAGCGGAGAGCCATGGTTCACCGATCCCCTTCCCGTTCTATGGGACCGGGAGCGAAGCAGATTACATCACTTCCGGTCCCATAGCTGTCAGTGCCGGGCTCCCGAAGCCTGCGATCTGCACTTCAACTGCTTATTTGGAGTGTAAAGATGAGACTAGGGGTCTTTTGGACCCCCAGCATCACCTTAAAGCGTACCTGTCACTGCCGATATGCTATCACATGGGGGGCTTGTAATCCCCCCGTGTGATAGCAATTAAAGTAAATGTAAAAAAAAAAAACTGTTTTAAAAATAAAATAAATGTAAAAATAATGTACATTGTTTTAAAAGTTTTTTTATTGTGTTTTGGGCACTTAATTTAACTTAAGTGCATTTTTCAGTGAAAAATGCACTTAAAGTGACATTAAACCCTCAGATTTTTTTAACATAAACCAATACTGTAATGTGTGCCTTACTGTAATCCATGGTTGTTTCCCTTCTCTTTGCTGCTCTTCCTTTTAAATCTGTATCTGTTCTCATGCTGGGGGAGAACTTCCCTTTGCAGCTGAGTGCCTCTTCCTGTAGTGCTGGCTCAGGTTGCAAACGTACACACAGACACCATGTATCCATTCCAGAGACAAGGCAGTCTGCTGCAAAACAGAAGTTCTGCCCAGCATGAGAAGAGATACGGATTTAAAAGGAAGAGCAGCAAAGAGAAGGGAAACAACCATGGATTACAGTAAGCCACACAGTGAGAACGCTCACCAGGACAAATATAGGGGTGGCAGAGACAGCAATTAAAACCTGACAGGTGTTCCAAGTCCCTCGGAACTCTATCCTAAACTAGTTTTGGCTTCAGTTGCACTTTAAAGGTAATCTGTTCTTTGGCCATGCAGGTGAAAGTAACGGTTCACATTAACATCGGCCCTACCAGCTGCTTATAACTACCTTCCATTTGCTCCTCTGCTGCTCAGTTCACCCCAGGAAAAGAAGTGACATGCCAGGGGGACGTACTCCTCTGTCTCTGATGTGACAGTGCTGTGCTTGTTGGCGGACTATTGCACCCAGATATATCACATGGGGTAGAGGAAAGAGCTCTCAGCCCTGTGGATGCATTAGAATGTGTTGCATCAGGGCAGCCCCATTTAAACTCAATGCACCACAATGGACCAAACAGGAGGGAGAATCAAAAAGTAAAGGCAAACAGATGTAATGGCTTTAATAGAAGTAACTGTGAGCACTTGAACATATCCCTTTTCCACATAGCCCCCATGCAAGATGATGCACGTTGTTGTATCATTCAACTAGCTTCTTTATTCCTGCAGAGAAGAAGCTTTTCAGCTGCTGCTGAAGCCAGGTGTACAGCGCTTCCTTTACTTCAGCATCTGAGGTGAACCTGCTACTGCAGAGCACCTCCTTCCTTTTGCTCTCCGGTCGTAATGACGCACCCATGTCTCATCACTGGTGACAATTCTCTCCAGAATACTCTGATCTTCTTCATACCATGTCAAGAATTGTGTATCAACCTCCACACGCTGTTGCTTGTGCAGAGCAGTAAGTTGTTTGGGAAACCATCGTGTGCGGACTTTCCTGTAAGTCACCATGCACTATGGCAAATACGGATCCATAGCTGATATGCCCAAAGAAAGCGCACTACGGCACATTGTTCTTCAATATTGCAATCTCACAATGGAGCGTCCATGATGTTTCTGTCCACGTGACTACCACTCGACTAAAGTCCGAGCGCTGTACTGCACATGATCGAGCTATCCAACAGGCTGTGTAAATATGCTGAGAGTGCAAGCTTCTCTCTGTTCCACTTACCGCAGAATTTATAAATTGCTGTTTTGATTCTGCCTCATATCGTGCATGAAGCATTTTCCTCAGCGCAGAGCACTGCTGCTTATTAAGTTGGAGTGCAAGTGTGCTGAGAAGGTGCAATTCAGAATGATTGACACCACAATGCACCAACATGCATTACTATGCATTGCACTTACTGCAGAGTGGTGGTGTGAATAGGTCCTTAGGGGTTCCTGCTCACCTGCTGCTACATTGTTGCTCCCTCTAAAACGCTCCATTTTAGCAAGCAGGCTAGTGCGCTGTGACTAGTGCGGTGGGTGGATGGTGCAATAGCGCATCACACTTTTTACTTTTCTTTTAATTTATGTGGAGTGTACAAAGTGAACACTCCATTCAGGTCTGGTGTGCTGCCGAAAATTGAAGCATGTCTGCATTTTTTTGCAGAGCACATTACACCAGCAGCATGGTGTGAATGGGGCACATAGGTATCCTTGGTCCCGTTCACACCTATCCATTTTGTCGCTCAAAGCTAAGTGTGACAAAATGCTCAAGACAAGGAACCCCATGCATTTCTTTGGCCCTTGTTCACGCCGGAGCATTTTCGTCGCAAGTAGAAAAACGTCTGTCGCTGGAAGTACATGAGCTACTTTTCAGTCCCATAGACTTAAGCCTGCATTCACACCTAGGCGTCAGCTTTTCAGTGCACGATTTCGTCTAGCGTGTTTTTGCACATTTGTATGTGCATTAGACACAAGACGCTTGTCTAAGCTGGCAGATTGAAAGACATTGCGGTCAATGGACAAATACGCCTAAAAAAGCACAAAGAACACGCACAGAAATGTGGAAAACGCTTGTGTTGCTTGTTTTTCAGGTTATTTCCATTGAAGTCTATGGGGCCAAACGCACTGCAAACTGCACCCATGAAGCTCAGGAACTTTTTCCTGCAACAGGCATTTTGCAGCTTGTGACAAAACCCTCAGGGGTGAACGGGGGCCATTGAAATGGATGACATTCCAGGTCTTGAGCATTATGTTGCGCTTACTTTTGAGCAACTAAACACCTAGGTGTGAACGGAGCCTTAGATACCCTGTGGCTAGCGAGTTGCCACCAGGGACAAGATGGCCATTGTGACATGGGCCTCAGATGAGGCCTCTTCACTTCTATAGACAGAGGGAAGGTGGGCAGTGAAGGAAAGGTAAGTAGCGGCAGCTGTGGAGGCCGGTCCATTCCATTTTGTAGCAGGATCTCCTGCGTGAAAAGCTATTTTGAGGTATTTCGGGGGTCTGACATCCAATGCCTGAACACAGCTGCAATTGTTCATCTATTCGCTGCAGATTTGCCCAACACTGGCATTTCCATGCGTCCTCAGAAACATTCGCCAATCAGTTTTATAAGCACTGAAACGTGAGCAAATGACCCCTAGATTTACTCATTCTATAAACAAACCCCAGTAGGTCTATAATGTATAAACTTATTTGGCCTGACAATCTCAGCTCTGCTGCTTAGCCTGGGGCAGATGCTCTCTATATTGAAACCTTCACCAATCAGCTGGGACTTGTAGTCCCAAACAAGCTCGCCTCTTCCCATTATATCAGGGCAGAAGACAGAGCCACCCCCATACCGGGCAGATCATACAAGTGGATATTGGTATGTTCTGCATCCCCTCCTCCCCTCTGCCACCCCCCTCAACTGAGATATCAACACGTCTACCCGAAGGAGGAGAAACAAAAATGGCAATACGAGCTCCACCTGACACACTGCGCATGCGCCAAGTACTAAATCTCCAGGCGAGCGAAGATGAACGCCGATCCACGAACGTCTCCGCCGCCTGTATAATCCTGCTTGATGCTCGGCGCTCACTCGCTTTGTTCTGAGAAGCGGCTGGCTGAGGCTGCGGTGAGCGGTGCAGCCGGGTGAGAGCGGATTACCCCATAGCAGAGTCCAGCGTGAGCAGGAGTGAGCGGAGCTCCGCCCGGGGACGGGGAGGTATGTGACTGGATGGGGATATGGGAAGAAGTTGTAGAGGATCCCTGGAGCGGGGTGACATCAGTTTATGTCCCTATCAGTACTTTCTACCACTGCCAGCCTGGGTGCTATTACATTGGCAAATGCCAGCCTGGGAGCCATTACTTTTACTGGCAATCTGGGTCCCGTTACTTTCTACCACTGCCGGCCTGGGTGCCATGACTTTTACTGCCAACCTGGGTGCCATGACATTTACTGCCAACCTGGGTGCCATGACATTTACTGCCAGCCTGGGTAACATGACTTTTACTGCCAGCCTGAGTGCCATGACTTTCTACTACTGCCAGCCTGGGTGTCATGACTTTTACTGCCAGCCTGGGTGCCGTGACTTTCTACTACTGCCAGCCTGGGTGTCATGACTTTTACTGCCAGCCTGGGTGCTGTGACTTTCTACTACTGCCAGCCTGGGTGCCATGACTTTTGCTGCCAGCCTGGGTGCCATGACTTTTACTGCCAGCCTGGGTGACATGACTTTTGCTGCCAGCCTGGGTGCCATGACTTTTACTGCCAGCCTGGGTGCCATGACTTTTATTGCCGGCCTGGGTGCCATGACTTTTACTGCCGGCCTGGGTGCCATGACTTTTACTGCCAGCCTGGGTGCCATGACGTTTACTGCCAACCTGGGTGCCATGATGTTTACTGCCAACCTGGGTGCCATGATGTTTACTGCCAGCCTGGGTGCCATGACGTTTACTGCCAGCCTGGGTGCCATGACTTTTACCAATTTCTGCCTGGGTGCCATGACTTTTGCTGCCAGCCTGGGTGCCATGACTTTTACCAATTTCAGCCTGGGTACCACTACATTTGCAAATGCCAACCTGGGTGCCATTACTTTCTACCAATGCCAGCCTGGGCTCCATTACTTTAACTGCCAGCCTGAGTGCTTTTACTTTTAAGTCCAACCTGGGTGCCGTCACTTTGTACTACTGCCAGCCTGGATGCCATGACTTCCTACCACTGCCAGCCTGGGTGCCATTTGGCAGTTCTGAGTCTTGATAGACTTGGTATCTCTATCTCACCTTTTATATGTGTTTGCGCTAAAATTCATTTGAATTTATTTTTTACTGAAAATCTGGATTTCTTGGGCGAAAACTGTGCGACATACAAAGTTTCAGCTACCACCTTTTTTACACAGCAGGACCTCTACTGTCAGAATATATCTCATATTTGGGGTGAAGTCGTTTCTAGAGAAAAATGAGAACTTTCCTATTGTTTTATTATTATATTATTACTATTATCATGCAGCATAACAAATTGCAACTCCCATGTTTTTCCCCCCAAGGATTTCTACATTCTACGTTGATTTGGAGTTACATTTACAATGAAAATGTGCATTTTAGATTCTGTTTAAACACCCAAGAAAAAAAAAACAAAGTCTCCCAGCAGCAAAAGGGTTAAAGCTGGACTCTGGGTACAACGGAAAATTGAATACTTACCTTTCTGTAATTTTATTTTCTTGGTGCTTATACAATGCAGCATTGCTATACCAATGTATACTGCCATGTAGGCTCCATGAAAAAGCAATGTGCATATGTACAGTGGTCCAGCTTGGCCCATTATATGTATGTATGTATGTATGTAAGTACTTGGTCAGCACTTGGTCAGCCCACGGGGATCCTATATAGCACAGTAGTAGCAGGAGCCAATACAATGCTTTAGTCCCTGTTCAGACTTGCGCGTTCCATGAACGTGCACCAAACTTGGGGAAAAAGTATGCGCTTTGACGCATTGTCATGGAATGCGCCAAAACGTGCTTGTGGTACCATTCTTAGTTAATGGCATCCCAAACGCAGCCAAGCAAACATCTGGTTTACCCAGACGCATGTAGCAGAATTTGCTACAGGAGCTACTTTCCTGCATTTCTCGTGCATACAGGCACCCATTGACATCCATGGGGGCAGGCGGCAACTGCGGGGGAAAAACCCTCGCAAACGTGTCACCGCCACGCGTGTTCATAGAACATAATCGTGTGAACCGGGGACTCACAGCAATCTTCCGGGTCATCTGGTGTGCTGAGTGACTTCCCCTTTGCTTTTAAAGCACAGGGGGTCGCTCACTTAGCACACGGGCCAATCAGAGAATGCTTAGTGTTTTTATCAATGAATACGAGGCATTCTCTGATTGGACGAGGGGTGGATTGTGCAAGACAGGACAGGAAGTGTGTTTACTGTCTGGATCACCAGGTGAAAAAAGAAAACAAATGCAGCCACCACATCTAAGAATGGGTAAGCTGCAATATATTGCTTTGTTGTTTTTGGGTTTAGATACACTTTAACCATCAGTCCACCAGGGCCCCATCTACAGAGAACATATAACCAGTGACACAAGGGTTAACTGCAGGCACTATATAAATCCTGAATAATAAACAACTCTAGTTATCCTTTGGTCAGTGTGGGTTTTTTTTTATAACTAATTGTATAAAATCATCAGCACCCCATATCCAGGAATCCCTGGGGAAGTACATTCACATAAAGGAGAACTATGAGGTGAGTGCTTTCCACTCACCTCATAGTTCTAGCCGACCTGTGGCAATGAGACTGTCACAGGTCGGCTCAGTAGATCGGGAGGTGAGCGAACACATACCGGCGTTCGCTCACCTCTCGATCCTGTCACAACTCTCTGCCGTGACAGGGGAGGGGCTTGATTCCCCCCTCCCCGCTCCGATCTGCCAGCGCTGACTGGCGGAACAGACGGGCGAGGGGGCGGGTACAGCTGGCTCTGCCTCTAGATAGGCAGAGCCAGCTGTCAGTCACGCAGCTGGGTGGATCCCGGCACAATTGTCGGGATCCGCTTCAGCTGCGGCGTCTCAGTATACCGCGAGCTACAGCTCGCGGGAATACTGAGCCTAGGGTGACGGGAGGACGCTAGTTTGTGTCCTCCCCGTTACCCTAAGGAGAACTATGGGGAAAAGACTTAACCCCATAGTTCTCCTTTTAAGTTGAATGCGCACTATTGTCAGCCCATGGCACCTCAGTGTACAGTGCGCAGTAATACTATCCCGGCACACAGGAGACTTGTCTAAATTATTTTCTTGTTAAAACGTTTGCTGCCCAATCGCCTGTTTGATGTTTGTTTCCTTTTCTGCCAAGTCATTAAATGAAGCTTAGTCTGCTCTTTAGTCTAGAGCACGTACCTCGCGCCAAAGTCAATTTGGGAAAGTATTTTGAACAATCAGCTGGCCGGTGCCCAACTCGAAGGGTTTGACATTGAAAACATGTTGTTTTCTCAAACGTGCTTGCAGTGCCATTACTTGTTAATGGCAACCCGAATATGGGCAAAAAAACGCAGCACGCTCGCAGCTTAGAATGCGGCATAAGCTACTTTGCCGCATTTGTTGCGGATGTGGCAGCCCACTGATTTATTTACCTGATTCCCGATCCCCGGCTTCTGTGTGTATCTGGGCGTCCTCCACATAATGCAAGGATAGGGGCAATTGACAGCGGCTTCTTCTGCCCTGCTAACCTTCCCATGTGACACTCTCCAGCGGCTTGTGAGGCGGCTCCTGCAGGTTGATTGACAGCGGCGTTTTATTTTTTGCTTGCTGGTGTAAACAATGATCAACTTGTGGAAAGATAATCACTATTTATTTATAATATTATTATTATACAGGATTTATATAACGAAAACAGTTTGCGCAGCACTTTACAATATAAGGAAGACATTACAATCACAATACAAATCAAGACAAGATTGTAAGGAGGGCCCTGCCCCTGAGGGCTTACAATCTAAAAGGGAGGGGGAAGTGATACATTAGGAGGGATCTGTGTGGGGATGAATTGTTTGGGAACGTGATGGTTGAGGTGGGATAGGCTTCCCTAAAGAGATGATATAAGTGCCTGTCTCCCCCTCCCTGCAGCATTCAGCGTCCTCACATCTATACACTGTGTATAGAGGTTGGTGATTTACAAGGGGGGGGACAGACAAAAGAAGGATCGGCCTAAGAAGAAGCCGGCTCGGAGCTTTGGGTGAGTATATCTTCTTTTTTTTTCTTTTTTTTTAAACCTAGACACAAACGAGCACCTAACCCTTGAAGTGCTGGGGTAGCCCCACTGCAAGGGTTAATACAAATAAATCTTGGAGTTCTTCTTTAAAGCTGAACTCCAGGAAAATGACAAAACTTGCCTTGCAGTGGGGTTCCACCTCCTACACTGAAATGCTTGTTTTTGTTTAGGGTACCAGCTTTACATACCTGATCCCTCGCTCTCCCATCAACCCGCGATTTCCTCTTCCCTTCTGCGCTCAAGTTTGTACACAAGACCTCAGCGTCCTCACTTACAATACAGGGCTGCTGGTCCTTCTTTCTATGTGATAATGTCGGCATGCAAACAACGGACACCGAAAGGAAACAGCTTCTGGGGAGGGGTAGCACAGAGAGGAGGAAGGCTATGGGAGTAATGAATAAAGTAATACTACTTTTATAGAAATCAAGAAATGAGCATTTAACCCTTGCAGTGCAGGGGCAGTTAGTGTATTTCCCTGGATTTCAGTTTTAATGTATGAAGCATGCACACCCAAGGCCAGCAATCATATCTGGTTGGTACATATCGTTTAGGATTTCTTCATGGTATATTTATGTACACACCCTTCTTATGTGTTACTTGTTCCTTATTAGGCAGAAAAGCAATGGTTTCAGCAATACGTTACACCTTTTATTTGTGTCTGATGGGTGACACCCTCACTGGTTATATTAGGTGTGGAGCCTATTACCTCAGAATTAGGCCTTTTGTTTTTAAAATCAACCCCATGTAGGGAGTAAAAAAGCTGCGTCAGAGTCCAGTCCTCCTCTGACACCCAACGCAGAACTAATACTAAGGCATGCATCACTTGACTCTGAAACACCTATCACCTATGTCGCATACCACGGCACATGTAAGATTCAGTATTCCTGGATGTGTATGGACATGCAGTATGTTATGAGACTGAGCTGAAATCTAGGCATTCAGTACTCATTATCATGTTCCAGCAAGATGGTATTCATTCATTTTTTTGCTTTTCTGACATTATCTGTTCTAACCCCTTTTAATCCAGTGTTTGTTCACAACACAACAGGGGTAAGCAACCTCAACACTCCAGCTTTGGCGAAACTACAAATCTCATATTGCCTCTGCCTCTGGGAGTCATGACCGTGGTTGTCAGTATTGCAATGTCTCATGAGACTTGTAGTTCCACAACAGCTGGAGTGCCAATTTGCCTTCCCTTGACGTAGAAGCTATAACACAGTGAATAGTAACCTTAGGGAGCTAGAGACGTGCTTTAGGTGAGACAAAGTGCTGAAAGATCTACTGTGATAAAAATGATTTATCATCAGACTATTTGTGAGTAGCCATTGTAAATAGGGATGAAAAGATTTAATGTAGCACTATATAGAGTTGTGTGGGAAAAAAGTGCACCTTCCTAGAATTCTGTGGTTTTAAGTATCAGGATCACCTGGTCCTAAGCAGGTCTTAAAATTTAGCGAAATACAACCTCAGATGCACAACAACGCATGACATATTACACCGTCTCTTAATTAATTTCCAAACATAAAGCCAAAATGGAGAAAAACTAAGTACACCCTTACTGCTTCCATAGGAATTAAGAGGCTAAGTAGCAGTCAGTTGCTGCTGATCAAATGTCCTTGATTGATCATTAGCAAGTGTGACCACCTATAGAAAAGCCGAAGTTTTAGGCTAGGGTCACACCAGATGCAGTGCGTTCCGTCCAGAATCGCACCGGAACGCACTGCGGTCTGGTGCAATCAAAATAGTGCTTGCAGCATTTTGATTGGACCGGACCGCGGGCACAATGTGCCTTTGCGATCCCATGCGGGCGATTGCATTGCGGACGGAGGGCGTGGCTACGGTGCCATCCACTTCAATGGCCCGTTACGCCCCCTCCTGCCCCGCAAAAAGTGAGCCGGCCCGCAATGCGATGCAGTGCGTTTTCCGGCCAGAATCGGGCCGGAACGCACTGCATCTGGTGTGAACATACCCTTAGCAGTTTTCTGGTCTGGAACAGTCAGGGGTGTGATAACATACATCAGACATCAGCAATGATCTTAGAGAAGCGCAGGTTTCTGCCCATCAATCTGGGAAGGGTTGTAAGGCCATTTCCAAACAATGTAAAGTCCATCATTCTACAGTGAGAAAGATTATTTACAAGTGGAAAATATTCAAGACCTTTGCCAATCTTTCCAGGAGTGGACAGACCCGCTAATTTACCCCAAGGTCAGACCATGCAATACTCAGAGAAAGTGCAAAAAACCCTAGAGTTCATCTCCGACTCTACAGGCCTCAGTTAGCATGTTAAATATTAAAGTTCATGACAGTAGAATTAGAAAAAGACTGAACAAGTAAGGTTTGTTTGGAAGGAAGGGATAGCAAGGAGGAAATGTCTGAGTTGATAGGCACTCCATACATCCAATGGAGGATCCGTTAAAGACTGAAGAGATGACAACTGCAACCATTGACCGTCAACATAGAAGTCCTCAATTCTAAGTGTAAGCGCCTCCATGAGACCACGTAACCGCTTATTCTCAAAGCCAGCAGGAAAGTCAACGTCACCTATCACCGAGAACACACGGCTCGGTTATCGGACGTTACAAGCTTAAAACTTGCCCTCTTCAAGCTCCCACCAATAGAATCCGTAACAGCTGAGTCCTAGCGGCACTCAACAGTTATAGCAGGATCCAGTACCTAATATGCCTACAGCTGCGGCAGCCTGACGCTGTCCCCAGCCAACAGCTTCCCTCCTCGCTCTCAGTTCTAGAAGCAGATCTCCCCCATCTGCCGGCGCCACCATTCCGTCATCAGCGTTTACTGACTCACCCACTACTTCTATCAAACACTGAGTCATCTCTCTTTTTACACATGATCCTTATGTAATATATGTAATTCCAATTTGTTTATCACACTACATGCAGGGTAGTAGCGCTTCTTCCTTGTTTTTTGTCCATTGTTTGGAAGGGTTGCCAGGAGAAAGCCTCTTCTCTCTCAGAAGAACATGGCAACACAGCTTGGGTTTGTGATGTGGCGCAAGACTTCTGGAACAATGTCCTATAGCATAGACCAGTGGTGGCGAACCTTGGCACTCCAGCTGTGCCAAAACTACGAAAAGAAATGAGCTGTATTAACAACACTGCCCACCAGACACCCAGCTTGGAGAGATGTTCTACCTTCTTCAATGTGATGCAGCCTACGAAATCTCTTATGTTTCAGCATAGCCTGCCCTCAGAATCCTACTAAAATGTTCCAGACGGGACAGATACAGGTGACTTAAACCTGATAGGAAGAACAGGACAGTAACATGAGTACAGAGAGTGTGTATGGTTCAGCAAGCTAAAGACTTAGAGCAGTGGTGGTCCACATATGAGCTTCAGGGGGCACCTGATGTCACCAGGCCAAATGTAATATTCATTATACTGTATGCAATGCTGTCGAAGATGGTTGTAGGACTAAAGGAAATTATCAGAGAATGTGCTACAGGAGTGCTTGGATACTGAAGTCAAGCTGTAGGAGACAGTCAGAAACTGGAGACATGTTACAGGAGACTACTAGAGATGACTGCTATTACAGAGCCTTCAGAAATCAATAATCCCGTTACAGACTGCTGGGGTCCCTGCTGCAAACAACAATGGGCAGTGTATGGCTCTCTGGACACATGTTGGGGCACCAGGGACTTAGAGACTTAGGCCAGCTATCAATACATTGTGAAATGTAGCTAGTATTACTATGTAATGACTATTTTAGCTTCTTGTGATCTCCAGTACAGCAGGGCTCAGTCTGTGAGTCAGAGCTGGGAGCTTGCTGACTGGATGAGAAAGTAGAGTGAACAGAGTGATGACTTCATCAATGTGCTGCTCCTTCACTATCCAGTCAGCAACCAGGGTGGAGGATGGGCGACCAAACTTCATTGCTTAACAGTAGTGAAGAAAAGTGAGGTCGGCGGCCTTTCTGTGCTGTTTGCCAGATGTGTGAGTCAGTTATAAGAGTACTGGAACAAAACTATAGGCTGGGTAAGACTGTTCAGAGGTATTTTTTTTTTCTTGAACACATTCATGAAAGTTGCGTATAGTCGCCCTTTAACAAAATATTATGACTTTTATTATTCAAGGTTTTTGCTGGTAAATCATTTTAATTTGTACATTTTCTTTGTTGCCTCCACATAGGAAAACAATGATTGGCGGCAGGACTTCCTATATCTGTTGCTGTCTGCTTTCTGCTGTTTTAATACTTTCCACCCTCGCAGAAGAACATGAACACACAGTGCAAGGGGAGCATCACGCCGGCTCTCGCTTTGACAAGAATGTGATACAGGACAAAGAGTGAGTATTGTAACATTGCTCAAGAACACGGCCTTTGATGATAAAGGATGTAAACCTGCTATTTAATATAATAATGGGGAATGCAGTTTTATGATCATTGCAATTAAAGGACAAATGTAGAACTCCAGGCAAAACTTTTCTTAACCCTTAAAAGTGGGGCTACCCCCGCACTGCAAAGGTTACGTGTTCATTTTAGTCTAGGTGCAAAAAGAACAAAGTTATAGTTACCTGATCCTCGATGCCGGCTGGCTCTTAGGCCAGTCCTTCCAGCCTTGCTCCCCCTCTGCTCCTGCAGTCTAAGGATCCTTAAGTCATCATGTCCAATAAACTGTGTATAGGACGTGAGAACACGGGGGTTGGATTGGTTGTATTATATATCATAAAAGTTTACTTGTCCTTTAAACATTTAGAGTTTGGTTATATCTTAGTTGCTAGCAAGTGCTGGTCTGTTAGCTTCATATAAACTTTGGTGTAGTGATAATCCAATTAAAGCTGGCCATACGCTGCTTAAATTTCCTGCTGTCTGGCCCGGCTGGCACCACCAGGGCGGGAGCAAAGTCGCAAATTGTCGGCTGATCAGTGACTGTCCAATAAGCTGCAGTCAGTGTTTGGGTATTAGGACAGTGCCAGGCAGGAGATTCCCCCAGCAGCACTGTTTAGTATAGATGGAGGAAATGGGTAGACTTCTTTTGTTCAGCCCAGAAGGCTGAAAGGAAGAAACCTATAAATGTATTGCCAGCATTGGATTACTTTAATGCTTCAGGAATGAAAGTAACACTGTTCAACCTAAAACGGCAACTTTACTCATAAGTAACAGGTTTATTTGTCAAAACAATTGTAGTGAATTAGGTTGTGACCCACTTCATCTAATCTGCATGGCTGCTTAGCATAAACTGGTGGGCATTGCCACAGTTCTAATTGATCAGACTGTGCACACTCAGAGTGTCTTTAAGTGGAGACACTGAAGCTTTAAAGAGAACTATGGGGTAACCTTTTTATCCCATAGTTCTCTTTAGGGTCACGGGAGGACATATACCAACATCCTTCCGTAACCCAAAGCTCAGTATATAGCGAGCTATATACTGAGGGCGCCGCAGCCGGGACAGATCCCGACTACACTCATGATCCACCCAGATGGCTGATTGACAGCGGGCTATGCCAATCTAGAGGCAGAGCCAGCTGTGCCCGCCCCCTCCCCCATCCATTTCTCCAGTCAGCACTGGAGGGGAGGAATCCCTGCAGGGAGAGGTTACTGACAGTCACCGCTCTCTGCAAGGTGATGATCGACAAGTGAGCGAGCGACGGTATGTATTTGCTCACTTCCTGATCAATAGAGCCGACTTGTGACAGTTTCAATGTCACACGTCAGCAATGAGTGTAAATCACTCACCTCATAGTTCTCCTTTAAGTACAACTCCAGCAAATTTAAATTCATGTAGAGATAACCAGGCACACATCGCGCATTTTTTAATGCTCTACATTTTAGTTTACTTAAATGAAAACTTCAGGGGTGATAGGATTTGTGAAATCCCCTCACATTCTACACTGAGTGGATAGATTATTATGACCACCCCATCAGTACTTCGTTGGGCCAACTTTTGCCTTCAATACTGCGGTGATTCTTCTTGGCATGGACTCCACGAGATGATGAAAGGTGATGCGAGGAATCTGACACCATGCCTGATGAATAGCACTGTCCAGTTCTGTGAGATTTGATGGTTGTGGAACCAGTTGCCTGATGGCTCTTTCAACTTTGTCCCACAAATGCTCAATTGGATTGAGATCTGGTGATTGTGGGGGCCACCTAAGCAAGGTAAAGTCTCCCTCATGTTCTTGAAACCACTCCTGCACAATACGAGCACCGTGGCATGGCGCATTGTCTTGTTGGAAGAAGCCATCTCCATTGGGATACGCCATCAACATGATAGGATGAACTTGATCAGCAACGATACTTTGGTATGTTGTGCTATTCAGACGTTGTTCCACACGAATTAAAGGGCCCAAATCATGCCAGGAAAACATGCCCCAAACCATAACACTGCCCCCACCAGCTTGAAGGGTTGTACTCATGCATGTGGGGTGCATGCTTTCATGCTGTTCCCGCCAAATTCTCACTCTGCCATCTGCATGATGCAACTGGAAATGTGATTCATCGGACCACATAACTTTTTTCCCAATGCTCGACTGTCCAATCCTTGTGTTCCTGTGCGAATTGGAGACGTTTTATCTTGTTAACTGCAGACAGCAAAGGTGTTCGAACAGGCCTTTGGCTTCCATATCCCATACGATGCAGTGTACGGCGAACAGTGCGTTCAGAGATCATTTGAGAGGATCCCTGATTAAGATCTGCAGTAATTTGATGCACTGTTGCCCTTCTGTTGTCTTGTACCAGTCTTGCCACTCTCCGTTCTGCCCTAACATTGACTAGTCGCTGACGGCCACAATTCGCACGTTCAGACCCAGATTTTCCGCTGACAGTCCAGTCTTTAAACACTTTAACAACAGCTGCTCTTGAACATTTAACGAATTCTGCTGTTTTGCTGATACTCGCTCCATGGCTCCGAGCGCCAACAATCATCCCACATTCAAAGGCTGTTAAATCGCGTTGTTTACCCATATCTTCAGAAAAAAATCACTTCTACTGTCGTGGTAAACAACCTGCTTCCCTATTTATAATGGTCTGGCCCTCTAGCAACTTCAGCGCAAAATTATAGCCAATTTGCCTACAAACGTCAGGTGGTCATAATAATCTGGCCACTCAGTGTATAGTTCGCCCTTTACTCCCTACCTTGCTCACTTTTGTCACCCTGTTCCAATCACTCTTCCCTAACTTTCACAGATCTTAATTGTAGAACTTGTTTTGGCAATTTGCTAAACCTCTGTGTATCCAGTACTACTTGTACCGGAGAAAGGGATTAAATCTCCTGAAAACTGAACCGTTAGTGCAAATAAAAAAAATATGTAGTGATGAAGTTTAATATCCGTGTATAATTGTGTTAGCATTAAGATGAATCCACCTTTTCAGCTACACTAAGTGAGTAAATAAAAAGTGACCTCACTGTTAAGTGCACAAAAAAACAAACTGTAAATTATTCAATTATTCATAAATAGTGTGAACATCTATACATGTGATATCTCTATACAATATATGTGTAGTATCAAGTGCATACACAATGATTCCTCTGTGAGATTAATCGATGCAAACTATTATAAATGCTATCAATCTCTATTAAACTCTGTGTAAAAATTTCACGCAGATATATTTTTACACAGAGTTTAATAGAGATTGATAGCATTTATAATAGTTTGCATCGATTAATCTCACAGAGGAATCATTGTGTATGCACTTGATACTACACATATATTGTATAGAGATATCACATGTATAGATGTTCACACTATTTATGAATAATTGAATAATTTACAGTTTGTTTTTTTGTGCACTTAACAGTGAGGTCACTTTTTATTTACTCACTTAGTGTAGCTGAAAAGGTGGATTCATCTTAATGCTAACACAATTATACACCGATTTGAACCACTAGCGTTGTATTTTCAATTAAACACACTCATTGGACCTAGATGTCTATATTGCAGCAGCTTTTAATTTGATTTAACACATTTAAATTATCAAAGCGCAGATTGAAAATTAACATACTTGAAGTTTAATATCCATAGTATAAGGCCTCATTCACACAGCTAAGTGTCGGCACGTACAGATCCTTGCAACGTACATGGCCGTATCTGGCCGTTCCTTGGAAGGATAGGTGCTGTGTGTGATTGTACGCAGCAGCTTGCTATTGGCTATTGCATTTTACAATATCCAATAGCAGGCTGGGTATGGCTCCCAGCCTGCAGATGAAGAGGAGGCAGGGGGGCGGGGCAGAGGAGCCCGGCCGGATCAGCCGGACCGGGGAAGAGAAGCCGTCGGACCGGACCAGGGGAAGAGGAGGCCGGGACAGGAGCGGCGTCTGTGTCCCCGCTGCCTCCGCCAACACAGGCAGGGAGAGCAGCGCAGATTTGAAGGGACACAGGCCGCTGCAGCCACAGTCCTCCTAAATGTACTGGCGGCTGCCGGTACATTTAGGAGAACTGTGGACCCCGGTTCGTAAGTACGGATTGTCCGTAAGTCGGACGTCCGTAATTCGGGGACTGCCTGTATGTAAAAACCGCACTTGCACTATGTGGCCAAAAGTTTGGCACACCTACATGAGATTGTTGGACATCAGATTCCAAAACCATGGGCAGTAGTATGGAGTTGGCTCCCCCTTTGCAACTACAACAGCCTCCACTCTTTCAGTAATATGTTGGAGTATCTGGGAAATTTGTGGTCATTCAGTTTAAAGAGCAATTGTGAGGACAAAAAAAGGAAAAAAGTTTATGGGGGAAAAAACCCAATGCAGATACCACATTTAAGGACTTGTAGTTGGCGTTCCAATTCATCCCAAAGTTGTTCAGTATGGTTTTTGGCATGTAGTCTGTGTTCCAATTCACTCAGATGGTTTTCAGTAGGGTTGAAGTCAGCAGTCTGTGTAGGCGACTCCAGTTCCTTCACACCAAACTCATCAATACGTGTCCTTATGGAACTGGCTTGGTGCACCTGAACTCAATCATTTGTATCCACGTATGTGATATTGTTTTGCCTAGAAAGCTCTGTGCAGTATATTTGGGGTAAACATTCATGTCTGTGCAGATTACAGAAAAGTTGCATTGGATAAAACTAGGAAGTTGTTGTTTTTTTTTTTTCCTAAATTTACTTTCGACTTTCCTAATTTAAAACCTAGGAAATAAAAATATATGTATTTAAAACAGCTTCCAAATGAAAGCCCTCTTTATCTTGGGGAAAAAAGATGCACGGTGCTTTAGCATAGACTACCATAGCACTTTAGGAGAGAAAGGGAAGAAAAGGCTCTGAGAAGATGTAATTAATATTATTTTTTGTCCTCAGCCACATCATGGAGCATTTAGAAGGAGTTGTAAACAAGCCAGAGTCAGAGATGTCCCCACAAGAGCTCCAGCTTCATTACTTCAAGATGCACGATTATGATGGCAACAATTTGTTGGACGGTCTGGAGCTAGCAACCGCTATCTCCCATGTACATAAATCGGTCAGTATATAGAAATGGCTGTCTTCCACTCAGAGCACACAATGTGACCTCGATCACCAGTCTGTCAATTATATGTGAAAGGGCAAGCCTGCTGTTGCATTTTCTTCTCTTGTATATGTGGATTTGAATGGCTCATGGATCCCTAATCTGTAGTATTTATCTTTTTAAGTTATCTTTTTATATACACCTGTATAAATAACAACATAAAATGTAATTCCATCGCTTTATGTCTTCATTTTAGGGGAGCGCAGAGCATGCGCAGGCCATAGACGAGCAGGAACTGATCACCCTGATAGATGACGTTCTGAAGGACGATGATCTGAATAATGATGGATATATTGACTATGCCGAATTTGCTAAATCATTAGAATAAAGACTTTTTGGTTTATTTTCTTCTAAATGTGAAGTAGAGCAATGGCCGTGTTTTTTTAGTATTGTGGTATCCCGTTCTGTGCGATCCTGTGGTCTGTATTCTGTGTTTAGCTGCACAGCTGGGACATTCTGTGGCCGTTTTTATTGGTTTAATTTACACAAGAACATGATGTACTTTAACCAAAAATACAGGTTTTTAACGTTTCCTTAATTTGCCTTTACTGGTTTTTACAGTAACAAGCAGCCCAGTGCCACCATATAAAAAGTGCCTGCCTCCTATTAGTGGGCTGGTGCAGGATTTCAAAGCATGCAGCTTGTCTGGAGCAGACCGTCATGGCGCAGTGTGGGTACTCCTCAGCGGCGGTGATGACAATGACTTATACAAGATCTCCGTTCTAAACAAACACTTTCCTATCGTTTTTAATGACAGAGCTGTTCAAATCTTAAAAAAACTAATTCATGAAGCCAAATGCAACACAGAGTTGTAATACATATAAGAGATTTGTTTTCCCTTCAAAAGGATTTTTATTTTTGTCCTTCCAGGCCTGATATTCATACAGAGCACAGCTCTGTCTGTCTGAGCAGGTGGTCTGCAGGTAAGTTACACTTACAAGTCTTGTCCCTCCCCCAAACCAGCGACTGGACAGTGAAGGAGAAGCAGCAGACTGATTAACACCTTGTTCTGTCCCTCTGCTCCCTCCTATCAGCATGTCCTTGTTAGCACATGAACACTGCAGCACAATTGACTGACTCATTGTGCTGCTTCTTCCTCTCCTAATCTGAGGTCTCCTATACAGGAACGACAAGAGGCTAATACAAAGTCAAATGCAAGTATTTAGACTGTTCTCATTAGAACACATTTAGTGATGAATCGATGAACACAGATCTGCATTAATTCACATTTAATTTGTGTAGTTTATATCTGCCTGGTGTTTAGGTTTTGTTTGTTTTACTTTTGCATAGAACCTCTGTCAAGTTTTTATTATCTGTGTCCCCGCTGCAGCTTGTCTATTGGTCCTGGAGACCATTGTCATGGTTACAGAAAGTGATGAGAAATCCAACATTTTGCAGTTGTCACCAGAACAAGAGGTGAGCTTAAATCTTACAATAGGGGGAACTTGTTCTGCCGGCAGCTGTGTAAGTGGGGAATGCCCCTCACATGCTATAGAATTCTTCTCACTTCCTGTTGTATCTTCAGGGAAGGAAATTAAGAGAATTCTCCCCTATGGGACACAGGCAGCAAAAAATAAACTTGACGGGTTGTAACCTGTATCCTGGTTGTAACTTCAGACATAAATATTAGGACCTTTTAATGGTGCTTATTCAGCCTGAATATTCCCAACATCCAGCTTCTCATATGAAAGTCCTTCAATTGCATTCAATTTATGTGTATTAATTCGTTAATACTAACATATAAAAGGAAAACACCTCCAGGAGTACATTATAAAGATGTATTCATACTGTCATTGGGTTAGCATATTGCAAATGCAAGTGTCCACTATTCTTTCCTTACCTCTATGGGAGCAATGATTTACTAAAGGCGACTAGGCTGTTCATTTTGAAAGGAAATTTTCCCTCGCCTTACTGAATGTGGTAAAAAGTCACTTCACAAAAATACCCAATAATGAGCTAGAAAAATTTAAAAAATACAGTATTTTTGCTGGCACAAGATTAGATGATGGACGTCACCTGAGCTTCACCTCATTCACTAAGCTAAGGGAAATGTCCCCAGCAAAATGAACAGCCTATTCGCCTTTAGTAAATCAACCCCAAACTCAGCTTCAGCAGACTATTGTGGCTATATTAAAATATATACACTTAAAGGTGAGCAGGTTGACTTATATTACCCCTCCCAAGAAGCACATGACATCCCAGTTGTAGCTGCTAGGAGTGACGAAAGGATGCACTGAGACCCTAAGTACTAACAAGGGGCAATCTTTGCCCTTTCTCCATACAGAGAGGGTGACTATTCACTTGTTCTCTGGTCATCTTTCAGGATGTCACACAGAAGATGGAACCGGTGTTGTCCTGAAAGATTTATGGAAAATGAGAAGCCGCGTACATCACGCTGGTTTTCCTGTCATATTCCCTGTCCTGTGTGCCATGCTGGAATATGACAGGAAAACCAGCGTTATGTACCTGGCATCTAATTTTCCATAAATCTTTCAGGACAACATCGATTCCATCTTCTGTGTGACATCCTGAAAGATGACTAAATAAAGTTACCAAGTATGTAACTGGTTTAAATTGACACAAAACTCAAGAATTACATCTGAAAAATGCATTCAAATATCCTAATTATTAACAAAAGCTGTAGATCCTCAAATCATCTCTGAATCCAAGGAACTATAGTACTAATTAGTAAACTAAACGTAAGATTGTAGTCCATCACGGGAGCAAGCTTATATAAACGTGTGTACCTAACGTCTCACTTAGTTTGATTAAAATATAAAAAAAACTAGAAGAAAACACTTTTTTCACAAGTTTTGATTATTATTTTTTTATAATATAGTATAAAAAATATATTTATATAGAATTTTTTTTCCTAATTTTGTTTTACACTTTATTTAATTTTTTTTACACTTTGTAAAAAAAAACAACTTTTTTTTTCTTGTCAGTTTATATCAAGCA